GTGGGGCCACCTGCTCAGCCTCCAGATTTAGACATGGACTGACCCTCCATCCATGCAGAGGTTTTGAGAATCTGGGAGACTCTGGATGCCACCTCTTTACCCCTACCACCTCCCCTCACACCCCCGTCCCTAACACCTTCTCCCTGGCCTCCCTGCTGCCTTCTCTGTTCCCCACCCCATTACGTCTGCTTTTCACACAGTGGCCAGTGGGAGCTCTTCATACTGCAGACATCATCACCCCCTTGTTGGCACCTGTCCTCCTCTCTTTTCTTGTGTTAATCCTCACCCAATATTTTTCTATTGATTTTTAGAGAGATGGGGAGAGAGAGAGAGAGAAACATCGATGTCAGAGATCACATCGATCAGTTGCCTCCCACACATGCCCTGACCAGGGCCAGGGATCGGGCCTGCAACTGAGGTATGTGCCCTTGTCCGGAATCGAACCCGGAACCCTTCAGTCCGCGGGCTGACACTCTATCCACTGAGCAAAACCGGCTAGGGCACCAGTCCTCCTCCCTTGGCTCCTCTCTCTGCTCTGGCCATGCTGATCTCATGTTTATTAAATGCCCCACTTGCACCCTCTGAGGGCCCTTTGCAGCAACCATTTCCTCTGCCTGGGCCAGCCCTCCCCCCTGCTTCCTAGTTCACTCCTATATTTCTCACCCTCCAGGATGTTGCTGTGGCCCCTATGCAATACCTGGATATTGTTGGCAGCATTTGGTGAAAGAGCATTTGGTGAAAGAGCATGAGGGTCCCTGCCCTAGAACAGCTTGCCTTCAGAAGGGGAAAGAGGCTTGTCAGTAAACCAGCCAGAAGAATGTTCTGGAAAAGGAAAGGAAATGATGTTGAGGGGCCCCGTCCAGACTTCCCAGTCAGCAGTGCTTGGAAACACGCGACCCTGGGCTGATCCCTCGCCCGACCTTTCTCTGCAGGCCCCAGGGCAAGTCCTACCTGTACTTCACACAGTTCAAGGCAGAGGTGCGGGGTGCGGAGATCGAGTACGGCATGGCCTACGTGAGTATCACTGTGCCCTTGGGGTGGGTGCCTGAGGTGTCCCCTGGGAGACAGGCAGGATGAGGAGGTGACATAACTTGGAAGAACGTGGGACACTGCCGACCCCAGGTTTGGAGGCGCAGGGAAAGAGGCGGTGGTGGTGCCCAAAGCGGGACCTGCTGACCTCCAGAGACAGGAAGTGGACACCCCGGCGTCACCCTCCTACTGCCTGCCAGTCTCCTGCTGGGGCCCCCATTGGAAAGGCCAGCAGGAAGCTAGAGGGCAGGGTTGCCTGGAAGCTCAGCTCTGGGACACGAAGAGGGACCGCAAGGGTGGCAGTGGCCCTGAGGCAGGCGTGTGGCTCACGGTATGTGTGTGGGTGTCGCATCCTTGGCCCCAGAGACCTGTGGTTCACGGCCTGGGCAGAGCCTTCTGTGCACGCCTGACCCCACAGCCCTTTCCAGAGGCCGCCACACTGAGAGCCTGCCGTGTTCCCACCACCCTCACCAGTTCAGGGTCAGCCAAGAGCAGAACCAGCAGGAGACAGGCAGCCAGGTAGAGAGTGTTTGCCAGGAAGTGGCTTCTGCCACAGGGACTGACCAGGCAGCTCTGGAGTCCAGAGGCCAGGCAGGCTGGAGGCAGGGCTGGGTGTGGTTTCTTGAGGGAAGCCACCGCTCTGCTCCGAAGATCGCGCCCAGTGATTGAGTCAGGGCCACCCAGGGCATCAAGGAGAAGAACCCTCTCAGGATGGGCTTTTATCACACGCACAGAACACTTCACAGCAGCACCTAGAGAGTCAGTGCACAACTGCAGACATGGCTGCTCCAAGGTGACACATCAGACACACACCTTTGAACTAATGACTCTCCAGGGTCCCTTTAAAACTCTATTTTAGCCCATTTGAGAGCACAGTTCTAATTTTTAAAAATTACATTCAAGAGACTGCTGTGCTTGTCCCATTTCCATAAATTAAGGAAAAATTGAATTAAATACCTTCTTACGAGGATTTGCAGTGAAGGCACGAAGCTTGAAGCCAGTTGACAATCTCTTAAGTAGATTAGCAGCCACTTCTCCTGGATTCTCTATGTGCTCAGAAAAGTGTCACCCGGCCCTTCAGTAAACGCACGAGGTTTTAGTCTGTGCCTTTTGGGAAAGCAAACCAAATTGTGTTCTTTCCTGATTAGGAAAGTTTCCACTTTTTCCCTTTCAGTCTAAAGCTGCGTTTGAAAGAGAGAGTGACGTTCCCCTGAAAAATGAGGAATTTGAAGTGACCAAAACAGCAGGTGTGTAAGGGTGGATTGTGGACATGGAACCCAGATACTGGGGGAGGTGGGGGAGGTGACAACAGAGGGCCCTTGGGGCCAAGCGGGGAGGGTCGACAGTTGCAGGGCACATCCGGGCTGCAGGCCAGGCATCCGTAACCGTTCCTGTAAAGGGCCCCGCAGTAAACATTTTCAGTTTTGTGGGACCGATGGCCTCTGTTGCAACTGCTCAACCTGCCCCCATCGGGCAAAGGGCAGCCACGTGTCAGTGAATGGATGTGGCTACGTCTTAACAAAACTTTAGTACTTTATGAGCTTGGAAATGTGAATGTCACGTCACTTTCCCGTGTCACAAAATACAATTTTCTTTAGATTTTTGTTAAAATGCCCTTAGCTCAAGAGTGGCGGGCCACACTGTGCCAATCCCTGACTGATAGCTCATGGCCCATGGGAGAGCTGTGACCTCCACACGGCCTGGCTGTCCTGGGCTCTGTGACCTCCAGCCCTGGCTGGTGTTCTCAATGGTTAGAGTGTTGGCCCGCACACCAAAGGGTCACAGGTTTGATTCCTGATCAAGGGCAAGTACCTGGGTTGCAGGTTGCATCCTTGGCCCTGGTTGGGCATATGCAGGAGGCAACCAATCGATGTTTCTCTGTCTTTGCCCCCCGCTCTCTCTCCGGTGAGGATTAACAAAACAAAAAAAAAGATTGGGACCTCCTGAAAGCCACCCACCCCAGTCCTCTGAGCCATGTTTAGCCACAAAGGGCAGATGCTGAACAGAAAGAGGTGGGGAGCTCTGAAGTTGGGGCTTGGTGTTCCAGAGCAAGGGTGGACAAATGAGTGGTTAGGATAATGGACATGGGAGCTAGCCGGGGAGGGTGGGGGAGGCCCTGAGGGTCCTGGGTTTCAGGGGAAAGATGAGGTGAAGGAACCCATGTGGCTATGGATGTCATTAGGCACGAAACCCTGGGAAGAAGATGGCATGGCAGTGCTTTAGGGAGGAGGAGCCTGAGTCTAGATGGAGCCCCGCTTGCAGGCCCTTGAGGACGTGGGGACCATTCAGAGTAGAGGCCAAGGACAGAGGATGTTAGGTTTCGGGCAGACCCTGAGCCCGAGGGCACACAGAATTGCACAGGGAGTCAGGGTCTGGCTGGGTGTGGCGGATGCGTTTGCAGATTCCCTGGCCCTGCTGTGAAAGCATCGTATGGTCCTAGAACAAGTTTGCCAGTGTGAGCAGGAGGTGATACAGCCTGGCCCCACCCATTCATTTGCAGTGTGGCCCAATGACCATAATCCCCCACCTTGAACTTCCCTGTGGATCCCACTGCCCTCAGGAAAGGCCCACCAACCTCTTCACGTTTTTTCTGTCTCTCACCCATAAGACTCTCCGGGCTGGGGTTCTTTCCGCATGCAGTTAGCTTTGGGGACTGCTCCCCTGCTCTGCCAGTCCCCACCGGGCCCTACCCTGGCCCAAGAGCATGTGGGCAGTCTCAAGGGCCCTACCATGCATTTCTTATTTTGCAGTGTCCCACAGGCCCGGGGCGTTCAAGGCTGAGCTGTCCAAGCTGGTGATCGTGGCCAAGGCATCACGCAGTGAGCTGTGACCAGCAGCCCCCTTGAGGGCGGCTTCCTCTCATCTCTACTGAAAGGGCGGTGCCCTGTGAGATCGGGCACATGTTTGGCTTTCTAGGGGGCACTGTTGGTTTTCTGCCTGGCTGATGTTGCCCTCCTCAGACGGGTTCCAGGGTGGCTGAGGCCCTGGGACAAAGTCCAGGGGGCCAGGAGGTTGAGCGGTGCTGTGCCCCCCTCCCAGTTCCCCATCTCCCCAGCACCACCACCACACATCCCTGCCCCCGCTCTTCTGAACACAGAGTGTGGGTCTGAGCCCGCTGCTGCTTGTCGTACCAGAAGAGGCATCAGCACAGTTGGGGGGCCGCAGCTTCCTAAAGCCAGCATGTCTCCCTTGGGATCAGGCCAGACTCCGATGCTCCGGGGAAGAGTAGTCCTGCTGCCCTCTGACCTCAGGTTGACTGTTTTCTTACAACTTCCCCAGGAGACCACCTTCCAGACTAACTGGGAAGAAGTGAAATGTCCTTTTGTATTTAAATAAATAAGAGTTTAAAGGGAACTGCATGGACTGGGTGTCTGGTGCTGGTGCCCGCCTGGCAGGGCGTGAGGGGCAAGGGCCCAGGGGTGACAACAGAGGAGGCTGGCTGCCCTCACTCCCCTTCTCTGTTGGAAACAGGTGGGCTGTGTCCCCCAAGACACGGAGTTTGAGGCACAGCATTTCTCTAGGGACAAAAGCAGTGAGATCTGAGGGAGGCAGCGTGAGCCTGCTCCTAGGCCCGGGCACTGCAACTCCCTGAACACGTCGGGCAGACCCGCCACACCCAGCAGGTCACACAGGACCCTGGTGGGGGGTGAGCACTCCAGGGCCGACCTCTTTTGACCCAGGTGTTGGCTTTGCTTAGTTTTCTAAAACCAGGTTGTAGTAGGGTGACTTAAAAAAAATCACAGGCAAACAAAAATAAGTGAAACCCAAATCAGGTGCCCTGGTCTCCCAGCTAGGGGGCGGGGGGGGGGGGGAGGCTGGGAGCCTGACCTGAGCCTAACTTCTGTGTCTTCACAAGCAAACAAGAGGACAGGAAACCGTGTGGCTATGAATCGGGGTCCCTCCTAATTGGAATCACCATGTTGGATCAACGGAGGCCTCTCTCTACCTTTCACTCCCCTGTGCCGACCTGAGGGCCTGGACACTGCTAAGCCCCACTTGCCAGAGCAGCAGTGGGCTGGGAGCATTTGGGGTCCTGTCCGAAGCCTCACCTGGAGGAAGCAGAGCAAGGCTCTCCTCTGTCCACACCCCCGGCGGACCCTGCAGTCGGACAGTGTCAGATTGAGGTCATGAGTGTGAAGAATAACTTCTCAGAACAACCATCGAAGAGGTGTGCCACAGAATTCTAGTAGTTTATGTGCCATGAGATGAAAAAGGTTAAAAATCACTGCACTAGGGGGAATCAACAACAGATTAGATGAAGCAGAGGATCAGGTCAGCGATTTGGAAGACAAGATAGTGGAAAATACCCAATTAGGACAGCAAAAAGAAAAAAATTTTAAATGAAGGTAGTTTGCCCTAGCTGGTTTGGCTCAGTGGATAGAGTGTCAGGCTGCTGACTGAAGGGTCCCAGGTTCTATTCCAGTCAAGGGCATGTACCTGGGTTGCAGGCTTGATCCCTGGCCCTGGTCAGGGCATGTGAGGGAGGCAACCAATTGATGTGTGTCTCTCTCACTCACTCTCTCTCGCATCGATGTTTTTGTCTCTCCCTCCCTTCCACTCTCCCTAGAAATCAATGGGAAAATATCCTCCGGTGAGGATTTAAAAAGGAAAAGAAAACCTATCTGAAGAAGTAATGATGGAAAACTTCCCTACCCTGGCAAAGGAAGCAGACATACAATGCCAGGAAGTGCTGAGTCTCAAAGAGGCCACACCAAGACTAAAATGCCAAAGGTTGAAGACAATCTTAAAGGCAGGTAGTTGCCTACAAGGGAGCTCCCACAAAACTCAGCTGAGCCCAACTGGTGTGGCTCAGTGGTTGAGTGTCCACCTACGAACCAGCAAGTCTTGGTTCGATTCCAGTCAGGGTGCATGTCCAGGTTTCAGGTTCCATCTCCAATAGGGGACGTGCAGGAGGCAGCCGATCGATAATTCTCTCTCATTGTTGATGTTTCTCTCTCCCTCTCCCTTCCTCCCTGAAATCAATAAAAAACATACTTTTTTAAAAAACTACAATGAGATCTCATCTCACACCTGTCAGAATGGCTATCATCAATAAATCAACAAACAACAAATGTTGGCCAGGATGTGGAGAAAAGGAAACCCTCATGCACTGTTGATGGAATTGAAAATTGGTGCAACCACTATGGAAAACAGTATGGAGTTTCCTCAAAAGATTAAAAAGAGAGCAGTCATACCATTAGCAATTGCACTTCTGGGTCTTTATCCAAAGAAAACAAAAACACTAATTCAAAAAGATAATATGCTGCCCGGCCAGCGTGGCTCACTGGTTGAGCATTGACCTATGAACCAGGTCACAGTTGATTCCCAGTCAGGGCACGTACCTGGGTTGCTGGCTCAATCCCCAGTGTGGGGCGTGCAGGAGGCAGCCAACCAATGGTTCTCTTTCATCACTGATGTTTCTCTCTCTGTCTCTTTCCTCCTCCCTTCCTCTCTGAAATAAAAAAATAAAATAATAATATACTTCTCTATGTTCACTGAAGCATTATTTACAGTTGCCAAGATATGGAAGCAGCCCTAAGAGCCGATCAATAGACAAATGGATAAAGGTGTGATGGATATATACAATAAAAAAAGAATGAAATCTTACTATTTACAACAACATGGATGTACCTAGAGCAGTGATGGCGAACCTATGACACACGTGTCAGAGGTGACACGCGAACTCATTTTTTTGGTTGATTTTTCTTTGTTAAATGGCATTTAAATATATAAAATAAATATCAAAAATATAAATCTTTGTTTTACTATGGATGCAAATATCAAAAAATTTCTATATGTGACACGGCACCAGAGTTAAGTTAGGGTTTTTCAAAATGCTGACACGCCGAGCTCAAAAGTTTCGCCATCACTGACCTAGAGGGAATTATGCTAAGTCAGACAAATACCATATGATTACATGTGGAATATAAAAAACAAAATGACCTGGTTGCTGTGGCTTGGTTGAGCATCGTCCCTTGCACCGAAAGGTTGCCTGTTCAATTCCTGGTCAGGGCATATATCCAGGTTGAGGGAGGCAACCAATCGATGTTTGTCTCATCCATGTTTCTTTCCCTCTCCCTTTCTCTCTAAATAAATACATACATACATAAAGATAAAAAACAAAATGAACAAACTCATAGATACAGAGAACAAACTGAAGGCTGCCAGATGGGAGGAGATGGGAGGCCAGGTATAAAAGGTATAAGAAATACAAGTTGCCAGTTACAGTAGACACAGGAGTATAAAATACAACCTAGGGAATCCTATATAATAAAAGGGTAATATGCAAATAGACCAAACGGCAGAACAAACAACCAATCAAAGTAATATTAGTAATATGCTAATGATATGCTAAGGCTGCTCAACCGCTCGCTATGACGTGCACTGACCACCAGGGGGCAGATGCTCCAACGGGTAGGTTAGCTTGCTGCTGGGGTCTGGCTGATCCGGACTGAGTGACATGGGCCGGACATGCCCTGGAGCCCTCCCACGGTCCCTCCCTGGCCCGATGGTGCATCGGTGGGGTCCCTCATCCTGGCCTGCAACCTCTGGCAATCCAGGACCCCTCGGGGATGTCGGAGAGCCTGTTTCAGCCCGATCCCGCAGGCCACTCCCCTTGGGAGGGCGCCAGACGCAGGGCTCATGGTTGGTGAGCGCGGCAGTGCGAGCCTCTCCTGATTGGGACTGATTGGGCGAGAGCCCTCGGCAGGCACAGTGAGGCCAGGATGAGCGGGAGCGACAGGCAGGAGCTGCAGGTGGTGTCAGACTGCGGGTTTTGGCCTGATCCCTGCAGCCACCCAGAGGAACCCCACCCGTGCACAAATTCGTGCACCGGGCCTCTAGTATAGTCATAATATTGTAATAACTGTGTATGGTGTCAGGTGAGTACTAGACTTATCAGAGTGATCTCTCTATAAGTTACATACATGTCTAACCGCTATGCAGTACACCTGAAACTAATATAATATTGTATGTCAACTGGAATCGAAAAAATATTTTTTAAAAATTTTTTTCCCTTCCAATCCTCACCCGAGGACATGCCTATTGATTGGGAAGAAAGTGGGGAGGGAGGGACATTAATGTGAGAAAGAAACATTGATCAGTTGCCTCCCGTATGCTCCCCAACCAGGAACCAAACTCACAACCTAGGCATGTGCCCTGACCCAGAATTGAACCCACAACCCTTCAGTGCATGGGACGATGCCCCAACTAACTGAGCCACACCAGCCAGGAAGGGCTCAAGAAAAATTGTTTTTTAAAAGGCAAAAACCCCAAGAAAGGAGAAAACTCGGCACCAAGCAATTCAAGTCAGTTTCACAGAATGTCAGTGGAAGACGTGTGCTTTTATTTAAATTGTTCTGTAGTGCTCTTTGGTTTTTCAAAATTAAATCCCAAACTTATAAAGAGTCAAGAGGCAGAACAGCCCATCCAGGAACAAGTACAAGCATTATGCATATTGATCAATTCAGTCAGCAGAGCTGAGGGCAAAGAATTTCATCTGGGGCTTCTCAGGCTACTCAAAATGCGCGTTTGCTCTTGAATATGAAGCTCTGTCTCTTGACTGGAGAGGTAAGTGGGAAAGTTGGCCTTGGAGCGGTGACGTAGGAGGTAGGAACAGCCGGCTCTCCGGTGAAAGGCTTTGGCTTCTTCAAGGAAGCAGAGACCAAACCACAGAAAGGCTGACCTGAATCTGGGGGCATAATCTTATCAGCCAGCACAGCAGGCCAGGGAGAGGCAAAAGGGAGAGGTGGAGACTGTGGCAAAGCAGAGAGGGGCAACCTCTGCAGCTTCACCAGCAGGCAATGCAGGCCTAGCCGGGGTTTAGAGAGAAACTCCAAATCTGGATTGGCACGTGCAGTTCCCCAGTTTTAAATGTTGTCAACTGATTCCAGATGGCTCAAACACAGGCTGGGGGCAAGCAAACCCATCTTCTCACCAATGCGGCCTGCAGGCTTCCCGTCTGCAACCTTTGCCCCGAAGGACCTAGGCCCAGTTCTGTGAAACAGTCACAGGAGGTCATTCCCCCTCTCCCTTGGGCACCCAGAATAGCCTTCCTGACCTGGCGGGACTTGTGGCCATTTTGCAATCTATGCCCCCTGCTGACAAAATGTGCAAATGCACTCCCACACCCCACATATCTGTCCGTGCCCCGAGCTGAGGATCACCGCATCTTTTGGGTGTCCCCAAAGCCAAGATTTGTGAGCTTTGCTTTCTGAGGTCTGAAAAACATTTGTTAGTGTGTTTGCTTTTCAAACATGAAATGATCATTGGAAAATGTGCCTGCATCTCAGATGTCTTTTTCCTTGTGCCCGGTATGGAGAATGCACTGTCCCCTCCCCCGTGGGAGTCAGAGCTAGGATCCCAAGTAAACTGAGGTGTCCTCACCCATCCACCGGCACCCTGCAGCCCCCTTCATGGCTCCCTGCGCTCACTCCTGGGCTGGGCGGCTGAAAGGAGAGGCTTGTTTCCTCAGTCACGGAGGCCAGAAGTCTCAGGTCCAGGTTTCCGCCAGGCGGTTCCACGCCCCGCTCCCAGGGCTGGGGCTGCTGCCACCCTGGGTGTTCCTTGTTTTGTAGCATTTCCCTCCAATGTCTGCTCCACCTTCACATGGCATTCTCCTCTCGTTCAAATTTCTCCCTTTTAGAAGTGTCCCGGTCACACTGGGTTAGGGGCCCACTGTGCGCCACTGAGATCTGATCTTAACCCATTGTGTCAGCAGCGACCCTGTTTTCCAAATTTGGGTCACACTCGAAGTCCTGGGGGTTAGAACTTCCACAAAGGGGGGGACACTGCTCACCCCATTACTTTCTTCCAGTTCAGTGTGACTCCTTTCTGAAGGAATTAGAAAGCCCAGGTTACAACATGAAGTGGGCAGCACCAGCTGTCAGATGGCATCCAGTGAGTTGAGGGGGGCCATCGGTTGTCACGGTTCAGGACAGACGGACCTGAGCAGAGAGCGGTCTCGAGGTGCGTGGGGAGGCCACTGGCCTCGCAGGCTGTGCCAGTTTCCACGCTGAATTCCTCTCTCCAGAGAGATGAGGTGGGAGAGGTCACAAGGGTCCATAAAACCGCTGCTTTAAACCGTTCAGCAACCTCTGAAAGGGGGCAGGTCATCTGTCTGGGGAGTTTGGCTAGAATCAGACTGGGGATCAGAGGTCATAAACTATAAACCCGCAGATCCCCAAGCCCAGCAGGATGGGGTCAGATGCTGTCCTCGTCCAGCATCCTGGTGAGCCCCTCACAGATCCGGCGCAGGTGGGAGGCGTAGGGCTCGGCCGGCCCGTAGAGCACGGCCAGGAAGTCGCAGTTGGCAAAGTGGCCGAAGACGTGGTTGATGCGGCCGTGGGACTTGGCGGTCAGGTGCGGGCCCACGGCCTGGTGCAGCAGATCCCGGCACTCGAGGAGGGCGGTGGCCAGCACACGCCGGTCGAAGGTGAAGTCCACCTGGTGGAAGCTGACGGCCGTCATGGCCAGGCGGCGCGCCCTCTGGCGGAAGCGCTGCAGGAGCACCAGCTCCTCCCCGCCCAGCTGGCCGCTGCGGAGCAGGACGCCCAGCTTCACCGCCACCTTGATGAGGTTCTTGAGCACCTTCTGGGCCTCCTTGCGGCTGCGCGTGAACTCCTTGGTGGCGCGGTACAGCTCGTCCAGCACTTCGCTGCTCGTGTCGTCGATGAACACGGCCACGGTCGCCTTGGACGCCACCTTGCTCAGGAGCTTCTTCTGGGCCTGCAGGGCCAGGCTCTTGGTGCTGAAGGTGTCCATTAGCCCTGCCGGGGAAAGAGGCCCAGCATCAGTTCCCCCGGCCCCGGGCCTTGCCCCTTTCCTGGTGGCTCCTATACAGCCCGCAAGGCCCTGCCCCTCAGCATGGCCTCTCCCCCTTGTAGCCTCATCCCTCCGCTCAGCCTGGATACCACCTCCCCCGGAAAGCTATCCCCGAACAGTCAAACCCAGGGGAGGCACCTCCTCTGGGCCATACACGCCCCAGGCTCCCCCATCACTGCTCTGCTCCCCCTGGCTTTGCTCCCTCTGGTCTGCCCCGCCCCAGGCCACACTGGGGGCAAAAGGCCTGATTCCTTACCCGCTGTGTCCTTGGAGATTCCAGAAACATCTGCCGAGTGAGTAAGAGGAACCCGAGACCCACCCCCAGCCCCAGGCCCTGGTCAGAATCCACCCCCACCCTGGCCCCAGGCTGGCCAGACCAGGAATGTGCTGTGGGCTCCCACTCACACCCAAGGGCTCCTACAAAGCCCGTCTTTGTGGGAGCTCAGACCCCGGGAGAAGGCCAACCCCTGGCCGCCCTCTCCGAGGTTAGGGCAGGCACAGGGATTCCTGGAGCAGCCTTCCCTGCCCCCCACACCAGTCACCAGACCTCGGGGCGACACAGGCCGGGGCCTAAGCTAGGGTACCACTGACTCAGCACCGTGTGGCAGGCCCTGGCCGGCACATGTGCCCGTTTTGTCATTCCACCGGGCAGTGGGCAGGTTGCCCATTCTGCAAAAGCAAGCACCGAGGCCGAGCCACTGCCCAAGGCCACACAGGAACACAGTGCTCCCCCAGCGCCGCTGCTCGTCAGCCCCTCCACCGTTCCCAGCTGACACTGCAAGTCACCCCCAGTCCTGGGGGGTCGGGAGCTGTCCCCCATGACAAAATCAGCCCTCTGACCACTAGGTCAAGAGACATACTGCCCTGTGTCTCGGTTCCCCCATTTATAAATGGGGAAAATAAGAACTAACTCTGCCCTGGAGCAGAAGCTCATGGCCAACCCAATGCCCACCAGCTGTGCCCGTCCCCTGGGCAAGAGGCTGGACCCCGAAGCCACCCAGCAACCTGGATGAGAAGGCCTCTGTGACAGCGGCAGCGTCAGGCTGGCCACTGGGCACAAGTACCTACGCCTCCCAGATGCCCTCCCACCAGTTTCTCTAGAACATTCTATTCCATTCCCTTTACTCGTTCTATAAACTCCTGCTCATCCTTCAAGTCTCAGCATCACCGTCACCCACTCCTGGAAGCCTTCCCAGAGGTCCCAGGCTGGGCCAGGTGCCCCTTGGCTCCCACGACGCCCTGGGCATCCTCCATTGTGGCCCCGAGACCTTGGCTTCCATGTCCGCCTGGCTGACCCAATGGCACGTGCAGGGGTTGATCACAGCGCGTCTCCAGTGGCCAGCCCAGGGCCTGGTACATACCAGGTGGCCCGTGTTTGTGGAATGTATCAGGGAAAGGATGTCTGCAAACATTGGAATGAGAGAGCACTCCCAAGGCCTGGGTCTAATCTCCCCAGTTTACAGATGGGCAAACTGAGGTTCAGAGAGGAACTTTCTCTGAGTCCAGGGATGAGGCCCAGGCTCTGGACCCCAAGGGCCCTGGAGCCCAGTTCCTTCTGCCTATTTTGGTTGCTGTGTGAGCCCAGGCAGGGCCTCTCTGGCCTTGACCTTCCCATCTGTAGGTCCTGAGGTGAGGCGTGCTAGTTCTAGAGGGAGTTGGGCCTATTTGCAGTCTTTAGAAAGGACCTGGGCCCCAGCAGCACCCCCTCCCCAAGCCAGAAGGAAAAGGGGTGGGAGTGGAGGCAGCTGCAGCCTCCCTCCCCAGCCTCCACACTTCTAGCTCCTCCAGCCAGTCCCCAGATCCGCCACACCTGGGCCAGCCCAGCTGCAGGCCCACCCCTCCTCCCGGACCCATTGTTCTGCCAGAAACACTGCAAACAACCAGGGAGGGGGGGGCGGGCAGCAGGTCATGGATCAAAATAAACCCTGGCCTTCCTTCCTGCCTGCTGTGCTCACACAGGTCGGAGGGAGAACAAGCCAGGAGATGGCCAGGCTGCGCCACGCCAGCCCTTCTGAGTCAGGGTCTTTCCAGGAACTGCCCCGAGGTTCGGGGGCCACCAAATGCCAGAACCCCACTGTCATTACAAGCCAGAAAAGCCCACTAACGTTTTAGAGGCTGTGCCAGAACATTCATTCAGATGCTCAATGAGCATTTATGGAGCACCAACTGTGTACCAGGCACTGGGAAGACACCGATGACAAAAAGAGATCTGGTCCCTGCTCTGCTGGGGATCCCGACCCTCTAGACCCCATGCCAATTCCTTATTACAAAATCCTTTGGGTGCTCCCGTTCTCCCCTGAAACGGACTCCGCAGGCACTATCACCAGTTTAAAAGTAAAATGAATAGATGGTGAAACAGGCCACCATCTGCGGGGACCGAGGGCTGGCGTCTGGGATGCTTCGTGTTCTTTTCAATCTGGGGCCATACGAATATAGAACGTCTCTGAGTTATACGCCTGCACTAAAAACCAGCGAAGTGTACACTTTAAAAGATGAACTTTATGGTATGTGAATTATATTTAAATAAAGAACATCTAACATTTCTCTGAAGAAGATACACAAATGGCCAATAAGCAGCTGAAAAGGTGGTCCACATCCTTGGCCGCTATGATCTATCACTTCACGCCCACCAGGACGGCTCTTAGAAAAAAGACAATATCACCCTGGCCGGTTGCTCAGTGGTTAGATCGCTGGCCCAAGCACCAGAGGGTCACAGGTTCAATTTCCAGTCAAGGGGATGTACCTGGGTTGCAGGTTCGATACCCAGCCCCCCGTCAGGGCATGTGCAGGAGGCAACCAACCGGTGTATCTCTCTCACATCTCTCACACACCACTCTTTCTCTCTCACTCTCACACTCTCTCCTTCCTCCTCACTTCCTCCTACCTCCCTACCTGCCTTCTACTCTCTCTAAAAATCAATGGAAAAGCGTGGCTCAGTGGTTGAACGTTGACCTATGAACTGGGAGGTCATGGTTCAATTCCCGGCCAGGGCACATGTCCTGGTTGCGAGCTCTGTCCCAATGGGGGACGTGCAGGAGGCAGCCGATCAATGATTCTCTCTCATCATTGATGTTTCTCTCTCTCTCTCCCTCTCCCTTCTTCTCTAAAATCAATAAAAAAAAAAATATTTTTAAAAATCAACGGAAAAAATATCCTCGGGTGAGGATTAACAACAACGAAAGGCAGGATCAGGTGCTGGTGAGGCTGTGGAGAAACGAACCCTCACACGCACAGACGGTATGAAAATGGAAAACGGTGCAGCTGCTGTGGAAAACAGTTCTGGCAGTTCCTCAAGCACAGAGTTACTGCATGACCCAACAACTCCACTCCTAACGTCTGCTCCCCCAAATGAAAACACACGTCCACACAAAAACTCACACACACTTGTTCAGAGCAGCACAATTCATGTGGCCCAAAAGTGAAACCCCAATGACCATCAACAAATGAGTAAACAAAATGTGATCCATACACTGGAATATTACTCGGCCATGAAAAGGAGCTACAATGGGTGGACCTTGAACACATGATGCTCAGTGAGAGAAGCCAGACCCAAAAGGCAACACAGCGTGTGACTCCATTTCTGTGAAATGTCCAGAAGAGGCAGATCCACAGAAAGCGGGTTGCCAGGGGCTGGAGGCAGGGGGTGAGGACTGACTGCTGATGGAGACAGGGCTTCTTTTAGGGGTGGTGGAATGATCTGGAATTTGAATACTTTAAAATGGTGAGTTTATATCTCATCAAGCGGAGCACTTACTATTAAGTGTATATACCTATATCTTTAAGCCCCTCACTATATTTTATAGCTTGTTTTTTACAATGCTAAATGAATTTAAAAGTAGGATCTGGCCCAAACTGTAATATAAACAGAAAGTAAGATAATGCCACAAGAGCTGTAAAACACTTTCACATTGACAGGCACTCAGTAGGTCCTCAGGACATGTCTGTTTGTTTTTTAATTGATTTTAGAGAAAGAGAAAAAGGAAGAGAGAAATCTGTTGTTCTACTTATTTATGCATTATTCTTTTTAATATATATTTCATTGATTTTTCACAGAGAGGAAAGGAGCGGGATAGAGAGCTAGAAACATCAATGAGAGAGAAACATCGATCAGCTGCCTCCTGCACACTCCACACTCGGGATGTGCCCGTAACCAAGGTACATGCCCTTGACCAGAATCAAACCCGGGACCCTCCAGTCCGCAGGCTGATGTTCCATCCACTGAGCCAAACTGGTCAGGGCTATTTATGCATTATTGATTGATTCTTGTATGTGCCCTGCTGGGGATCAAACCCGAAACCTTGGCATATTGGGATGACTTTCTAACCAACTGAGTTACCTGGCCAGGGTGAGACATGTTTGATTAAAAAGAATTTCCCTCCTTAAAAGCTCAAGCTCACTGCACTCAAGGATGGAGCAAATCTATCAGAGGTTTGCCCATATGGTGAACACCCTATATAATAAAAGGCTAATATGCAAATAGACCCAATGGGGAAACAACCGGTTGCTATGATGCACACTGACCACCAGGGGACAGACGCTCAACACAGGAGCTGCACCATGGTGGTCAGTGCACTCCCACAGGGGGAGTGCCGCCCAGGCAGAAGCCCTGAGCTGGACTCACGGCTGGCGAGTGCAGCGTGGTGGCGGGAACCTCTCCTGCCTCCGCGGCAGGTGGACATCCCCTGAGGTGTCCCGGACTGCAACAGGGCACCGGCCGGGCTGAGGGACCCTGCCCCCCCTAGTGCACGAATGTCAAGCACCAGGCCTCTAGTCCTATATAATAAAAGCCTAATATGCTAAGTGTCCGACTGTTTGTTCAACTGGTTGCTATGACGCTCACTGACCACCAGGGAGCAGACACTCCGACCAGTAGGTTAGCTTGCTGTTGGGGTCCGGCCAATTGGGTGAGACAGGCTGAACATGCCCTGGAGCCCTCCTGCGGTCCCTCCCCAGCCCCGATCGTGCACCAGTGGGGTCTCTAGGCCTGGCCTGCACCCTCTTGCAATCCGGGACCCCTCGGGGGATGTTGGAGAGTCACAGGCCAGGCGGAGGGACCCCACCGATGCACAAATCCACGCACCGAGCCTCTAGTATAGTTATAAATGCCTACCAAAAGAGTTCCATCTCCCTTCAATTTACCCAGGAATATTCACTGAATATTAAAATGGTGCAAAAAAAACACCCCCACTCGTCAGCTTATGTTTTTGGCAGGACATTAGGAAGTGGAGGCCGAGGGCTGCCCTGAGCGTGGCTGGACACCTAGTGTCCCTGGTCCCTGCCCCCAAATGCTAGAACATCCTGCTATTATCAGAAGCAAAAAAAAAAGAAAAAAAGAAAAAAAAAGAAGTTTTCCAAATTTCCAAAATGGCCCTGAAGAGAGGTCGCCCACACTGGATCGAGGGCCAGAAATCAATGCACGTGGAAATAAACAGGATAATTTCAGGGCCATGGGGGCAGGGGGGGAAGTGACAGGAACAGGCAGGTGACATGGGCTGGGGTTGTCGGGAAGGCCTTTCTGAGGTGGCGCCCCTGGAGCTGGGACTGAAAGGACAAGGTCTGGGGGAAGGCTGAGCCAGGCAGAGCGAGCGGCCTGTCCACCGGTCCTGGGGCAGGACCCGTCCGGCTGTTAGAGGAACACAAGGCCACAGGCCCATTCACAGCCCCTCACAGGCCACAGTGGCTCCAGACAAGCCCCTGCCCCTTGGGGCAGCTTTCCCTTCTGTGAAATGGGTGTCCAGACACCCAGCGGCTCTGTTGGCTCCTGCCCTGCCCCCTACATGCTTCCCCCAAACACTGGAGCCCGGTCCAGGCTTCAGACTTTTGCTCTCTGCCAACCCCGTTTCAGCTTTGGACGCCGGCCTTTGTCCCCGTTCCCATTCTGGACACTCCAACTCCCACTGTTCCTGGGAGTCACCCCCCACCCCCCCTTCTTCTACCCCAGGCAACCAGACCCACTTCCTGTCCCTGGATCTGCTGTCCTGGACATTCCACATAAACGGAACCGCACGCTGTGTGGCCCTCTGGGTCTGGCTGCTCTCACTGAGCATCATGCGTGCAAGGTCCATCCACACTGCAGTGCGTGTGGGTGAGTGCTCCACTCCTTTTCGTGGCTCCATAACATTCCAGACCTTATTTCTAATACAGTGTCATTAACCCTAAGTTCAGAGTCTGTCATTTTTAGTAAATGGCAAAATTCCTGAAAAGACAGCAAGGGGCTCTCGTGAGCCGGGGTGAGACTGCTCCGGGGTGCCACTGGCCCACGGGCAGCCTGCCCCGCCCCATGAATTCTTCATGCCCCACACAAAGGGTGTCAATAATTGATGCACACCAGCCACTCCTTCTCTCCTCTCTGTCCCGGCTGCAATGGCCAAGGATGGCCTCAGGGGGCCCCCCGCCTCTGCCCACTGTGGCAACAGACCTTGTTCCCACACAACAGCAGGTTCCCGCTACAGGAGCCCTTTATCAACCATCGCTCACACTGCTCGGTCAGTGCTCACTTTAAATATGGCCAAAGGGAAAGGGAATCTGCTTGTCTGAGGTTGGGGAGACACCAGTGGTTATCACACTGGGTTTCCTAGAGCCCTTGGGGCCACCCCAAAGACAAGCAGGGTCTGGCCACCTGCCGGGCTGCAGTGAAAGCCAGGACACTTTCAACTGTGGTCAGATTTCTACCGAAGGAAGGGTCTGGGGGCCAAACAGGAAAGTTGGAAGACCACTGCCAAACCCATGCAAGGAAGCACAGGACCAGCCGGGGCTAAGTGGAAGCTTCAGGGTCACAGGGCAGGAAAGTGGATGCAGCTCCTAAATGAGTTCTGGCTTCACCCCATTCTCACCGACCCCAGGCCTCATCCCTGGTCCCCTGGCCCCATGCTGTCCTCCCTGAAGCAGCCACCAGAGGGCGCCAGTAAACACCTAAGTGGGGCCCCAGCCCTCTGCTCACTTCCCTCCAGGCTATCCACCTCCTCTGTCATCTCCCTGCCCTATCTCCTCCTCCTCCTCCTCCTCCTCCTCCTCCTCCTCCTCCTCCTCCTCCTCCTCCCTCCTCCTCCTCCCCAGCTCACTCTGCCCCAACAGGCTTCCTCCCTGTTACTCCACACACCAGGCAAGGTCCTGCCCTAGGGCCATTGCTGGGTCTGTGCCCTCTGCCTGGAATGCCCTTCCCCCCAGGTCTCCAGTAGCTGTTTCTTCCTTGTCATTCAGGAAGAATGACAAGATCAAATGCCACCTCCTCAGGAGGCCCTCTCGGAACCAACACGCATGTAAACTAACGTCCCCATCCATCCGACTCCCCATT